ATTAGTTATTTGTATATATATATATAACTACTGTATATATATATATATATATATATATATATATTTGCATACATAAAACAAATTTCTTGTGTAAATTATTGTAAAATACGGTGCAAGCAAGTATTGTGTAAAACTTACACAATATATCGTAATACGTACCAAATATCGTATTGATGGTCGCTAACACGACAAGCGAAGAAAGTAAATGTGTTACAGCCGTGTTAATCGTCATCGCGTGGTTCTGAGATTGGAGAGTAAAGATACAGTAAATGAGATCTTTTCGAAGCGGACTTGGATCTGAAAGGCCGGCGTTTAACCTTCCACGAATTGTAAAGCGAAACGAAATAAAAATATACGTAAGTTTTCTTCTTGAAAAGGTGTTCTCCCCGGTATCTCGACTTTCTCCAGGAAAGTTAACGAGACGGTATGTTGAAATAGCACCCGGATGCAAACGTGTAAAAAGTCTTGATACGCACATGTATATACGCAATTGTACATAAAAAATACATGTTTATTAACTTCTTTCGGTTAAATAAATTTACTTATTTTCTCTTACTCTAAAATTTTATACATATGTATATATATCATAAATCTTTTTTTTTTACAAATATAACATTTGTTACATAATTTATATGTATAATCGTTTACAATATGTAATTACTTATAATTATTACATATTTTCTGATAAACACTTATATATTACTTGAAGAGTTTTAAAATTTTTTACAAACGCGGTTGTTTCTTATGCCACAAAAAAAAAAGAAATTATAAAAGTCAGCATAATGAGATACTGGATAACGAAAAAATAATAGACACCTACTGACACTTTTATGATAAATACTTTTTTACAAGTACTTGGCGCGTTGTGTTATTTGTATAAAAATTATCTGGCAGTGTTTATCTGTGAAGTTGTAATAACGGCATACATCAATAATTATTTAACTCTCGACACAAGTGAAGTATATCGCGTAGCAATATCTACTTGTTGGAGAGAAAGAGAGAGAGAAGTAATTGGACATGTACACATCACGAAGAAAATATGAAAAAATTGACAAAATGTACGTTTTCTTTCTCCACTTGAAACTTATTATTTAAAATCTGCAAGATTTTGAAAAAAAAAATAAAATAAAATGTAAAACAAATTCGTTTAGTCGCATTTAAATTTGTGCAAAACAAAATCAATCTTAAACGTCACGTGAAATAACTATATATAGAGACCTGCACTCACGTGTGGCCCGCGCACGGAAAATCGTCGAACGTCTAATCACTTGATGATAATCACGAGCATTCCACACCCAGTCGTATGTCACGGACTACTGGGAAGAAAAGATTTTGAGGACGATGCCGGGGAGTCGTATCGCCCGGACTTCTCTAGGTCACTTTCTCCCCACTTTGTGAAGAGTCCGTCACTTTCTTCGAACGAGCCCTACCTCCGATGGAATTTGATCACTCGTCGTTAATCGACAGATCGTTTTGTTCGTCGCGAGTTGCGAAATAAGTTTTACGTAATAAAACATCACGAGACACGCGACAATGAAATATGATAATAAACTATTGATTGACTATCTTACGTAATAATTAACATACAGATGTGCATGTGTAAAAAGATTTTTCAGAAATAATTTTTTATCGAATTAAATAAAAATAAAAAATCATTCAAAAATTCGAGATAAATATTGAAAAATAATATAATTTTCGAAAATTGATAATAAACTATGACTGACTGTCTTACGTAATAATTAACATACAGATGTGCATGTGTAAAAAGATTTTTCAGAAATAATTATCGAATTAAATGAAAATAAAAAATCATTCAAAAATTTGAGATAAATATTGAAAAATAATATAATTTTCGAAAATTGATAATAAACTATGACTGACTGTCTTACGTAATAATTAACATACAGATGTGCATGTGTAAAAAGATTTTTCATAAATAATTATCGAATTAAATGAAAATAAAAAATCACTCAAAAATTCGAGATAAATATTGAAAAATAATATATTTTCGAAAATTGATTTGTCACATTTCGCCTCTCTCGGAATGATTTTACAATCTGACATTATTTCACGTTGCTCTCGAAAGTTGCGGTTTTGCTAATTTCCAAGCCTCACGTAAATGAAAGATATTCATTTAGTCGTCGTTGTGCAAATACTTGCCAAGATCGGCCTACTGACACAGTTCTCCCACAGGTGTACATACGTATTCGTACCATCGTCTTTAACAAAGTGCGAACGCGACAACTTTATCGATCGCTTAATGATAGGGACGATTATCTTCGCTATTATACACGTTTTCTCGCAACAATAAAGTTCAAGCGAAAATTGCAGTTTGCAATCTTTGAGCTTTAAATGTTAATTTTCGACGAATTTATCATCGCATTGGCTTAAATTTATCTGTTTAGAGAAAAATTCGAGAGACAAAAGTTAAACTTTTGTCATATTTTATCGATAATTACACTTCTCTAACAATGGAAGATCGATGTCACGTCGGACAGATAACATAATTCATACGACGAGATGACTCGTGAGGTACGTACGTAACGCTATAACGCGCGGGATATATATATATACGCAGGATAACACAGATGTTTCATGGACCGAATACGCGTCTAAGGTCACATCGCAACCTGGTCGGCACCACACACACAGTTCATTCAGAACGAATTGCGACATTAATGACTTTTTTTTTTTTCAGCAAAACAAATCAGACAGCGCTTACGCGACAATCTTCCGTTGTTTCGAGAGATTGAAACATTTCGTCACGTGTCACGGAATAATCGATTGTGTTTAGAAATAAACGGTGAGATTGAGCCTCTCGTTACCAGATTGTTGATTGTCTCCCGTACGCGTTTCCGCTGCGACCTCGACGCTGTCCACGGTCTAAATAATAGAGAATGCTTCGGTCTTTTTGTTGTATTTGTGTGTGTTTTTTTTTAACTATTGCATCAATAAATTAGTTGTAATAAAAATTTGTTTTTTTTCTAATAAACAAAATTTAATATTAAATTCGGGTTGTGTGAGCCGTTTTGCAGGATGTTGTGCAGAGAATGTGCTTAAATATATATATATGCATACACATATATTTAACGAAATAATTTTTTTCCTCCATATAGGATGCNGGATTTGCATCACGTATATTTTCGCAATATTTTTAAAATATTGCGAAAAAATTAGTTAGAGGGGTATACGGGGTCCTTCATATATACGTGATGCAAATCCGGCATCCTATATGGAGGAAAAAAATTATTTCGTTAAATATATGTGTATGCATATATATATATATATATTTAAGCACATTCTCTGCACAAAACATCCTGCAAAACGGCTCACACAACCCGAATTAAATTCATTCATTAGTTTAAAGACTTCCCGAGCCTCGAAGAATCTTATTCTTCTTCATTATTAATTAAAAATTTAATATTGTTACTTGTTAAGAGAACATTTTGTCTCGAAGAAACGTAAAAATTTACACATACTGTTTTTTTTATTCGAAATTTAATACAATTAATCTATACAAAAAATTGATCTTCAGATAATTACCCTATCGTCATCATCCCAGGACAACTTTTTGATCCTTGGGAGAGCCGAGCCAGCGGGCCACGTTGGCGCAAGAGAATCCGGCGGTTCTCCCGAATAATTAGAGGAATCGTGAGAACCGGCGTCCAGATTGGTTCTAGCACTCAGATCGTTCATGTTCTGCACCAATCCGCCAATATTCGGAATGTTTGACGTGGCCGACAAAGCTGGCGGATTTGGAGCGGGCGCCACTTTGTGTCGAGCGTACAACGGCAATTGTCTCGCCGATGCTATACCTGAAACGAAATGAAAATTTACCGTTTGGGGATTAAAAAACAATCAAAACACAAAGGAACTCGGTTCGTTTCGAAACAAAATTCTAAGTAAAATAAGATCTTTTCTAATGACTTCGATAGATGGAAAAAAATGATATCGATTATTGTTGAAATTTTTTTGTAATTACACGTACTCTTGATTGTAGCACCGTATGAGTTCTCGTTAGTTTCTCCGAAAACAGGATTGTCAATGTCGTTGCGGCTTTCGGAATTGTCGTTCTCGTTGCTGTTGCTCGGGTGACGTCGATTTCGCGGATTTTCCAAAGTGTCTTGAAGAACGTTAGCACCTAGCACTTGCGGCGTCGGGCTTAGAGCCGAAGGAACCGGTGATTTCTCGCAATATCCCGTCCCCACCGAACTGACGGAACCACCACTTTTAGGCCTTTTGCTTAAAAAAAAAAAAAAAAGAAAAAAAAGAGAAAGGTATGAAATATCTTGTAAAAGAGAGATCTTTGATTTGATTTGAAGAAATTTGTGAAATCTTAACGCAATTGCGTCGATTTGTTCAAGCGTTGTTTACTCACTGCTTGTAGATGTAAAGTATGAGAATCAATATGACAACACCGAGAAGTCCCAAAACCGCGCCGAAGATAGCAACCAGTAACACGCTGCTTCCGAGCCAAGCAGGTGCGGCTCTCGCAGCTATCAAAGCGTTATTTGGTAGGTAAACGGTCACCGGGACCATGCGAGATCTAAATAAAAATTGCGAACAAACGTAGATCGACACTCGATAGTGATTAGTGATATGATGTTGTAAAAAAAATAGATAGAATTACTTGGGCGGCGTTCCGTTGTCGGAAGCTATCACCATAAATCGAGCGGAAGATCCGTTAAATGAACCCAGCGATTTTAGCACCAATTCTCCGTTGTCTTTGATCTCGAAGAATCTGAGAGAAAAGCGACGCGTATGTGTAAATAATTGTTTAATAATTATTTAATAATTGTTTTTTTAATAATTTTCTGTGACAAAGATATACAAAGCTTATTCTAAAACTCAAAAAAAAAAAAATAAATAAAATGCATAATTTTTAAATATAAATATTTTAATTTTACGTAGCATATTTGTTTTTTTTTTTTTTATACCTCGCGTCTCGTCCTCGAAGCGATAAACTAACATTGTCACCTCTGTCGCCATCGTACACCACCACTTGTCCTAAAGAGAATCGCACACATTCTTTGAATTGAACAAAAAAAAAATATAAATGGTTGATTTGAAAAAAAAGAAGAAAAAATTTACCGACGACGGAACCTTCTCTCGCAGAGTGAACGGGAAAGTCGTAGGAGGAGTGAGAAAATCGAGGTTCCCAGTCGTTCACATTTTCGACCAAAATGTTCACGTGCGCCGTGTCATTCTGAAACCAATTAACACTTTGTAACCATTGCGCATCGTCGCAATTTCTATTACACAAAAGAAATGATGTAGAAAAAAATTATCTTTATCTCACACGTGAAAAAAAAAAAAAACCAAAAACACGTGCACGTACGTTATACCCGTCTGTAACGTGAACGCGAAAACTGTGCTGGATCGACTTCTCGTAATCCAAATTGTCTTTGAGGATCAACTGGCCGTTATTGGTGATCGAGAATCTCTTGTCCGCCTCCGCGCTCAGCCAGAATTTTAAATTCTAGAACCGAAGACTACACTACACACTACTATGTCGCAGTTTGATTATAATTTATTACGAACAAAGCGTAGTTGCGTACTACTTACAGGATCAGGTTTGTTCACTCTCGTTGTTAACAGAACGCTCTCGGGTTTTGTGTCCTCCGGCACGTTCGTGTAATGTTCCTTCAGCACGAATTTCACGGGCACTCGACCACCTGATATCCGTAAAACACAAAACGTTTTAAACTCGTTTTTTTTTTATCTGACATCATACTCATTTGTTGAAACGGTTTTTGATACTGTCGATTGAGCTTATACATTCTCGTGAAAAAACTCTTTTATATATGTATATATATATATATATATATATCTATATAATAATATTTACCTGCTGTCGGATCAACTCCGTAGCTATTTTCTCGCGACACGACAACCGTGGCGAAAGCGTATCTGTCTGGATTGTCCACTTGAACAGCCTGTTTTTATAGTGTGCAATATCGCGTCATATTACATTGTTTTTTTATACGTGTTAAGAATTAATTTAATTAATTTAATTCCCCAATAGGCAAATTGTGAAAATGTTGCACAAAAATGGCGTCACGAATGACGATATGATATTTTGCAATGATTGCACTAAGAATGATTCGCCGTAACGCAACAGTTTTGTCGAAATAAAATTTTGTAAATAATAACGGAAATTTGCATGTATATATATATATATATACATGCAAATATATATACATGCAAATTTCCGCACAAAAATCCTGCGATCGGCTCGTATAACCTTATATATATTTTTTAGAAATTTTCAATGAGCCATAAAAAATTTAATTTGTAAATAATATTTGTCAAAAATTAGAAAAGAGTCGCGTTATGCATTTCCATAAGTATATACACGAATTCATTTGATTTCTTCACATGCAATTATATTTCTACATGTTTTAAACATAACATAGCTAAAAGTTTTTTCTCAATTATTGAACAATTTCTTTTTAAATTTAATTTTGCAAACATACCGCTAAAAGACGATTCGCCATATCGTTATTGTTTTGCCAAAATAGTATTTGGAAATTAATTTTGTGCAAACAGTTACAAATATTTGATAAAAGATCAATATTTTTGCATCTGTTTCTCAAAATATATTTATATAATTGGAAATCACAATTTTCATGCAAGATTTTGTCACATAATCTCACAAATATTTTCCTACCGGGGATTATATCTCACTTTTCGTATTGGTTTTTTACCTTGATAACCGTAGTCGTGGGAATCAGTAATTCATGATCCTGAAGTGATCGCAACATCACTATTTCAGCGGTGTCGACGTTTAAATTCAAAAAGGGTAAGGTTTCGGCTTTAAAAAAATATCGAACTGGCGCATTTATGCCGCGATCTTGATCCACGGCCTTTATCGCATCAGGCATAACTCGTAACTTTCTCCTCTATAGATTGGTAATTAATTTTTTTTTGTTATCAAACATAAGATTATAAAGCTAATTAAAAAGAAAAAAAAATCATCATATAACAATATATAACATCAAAAAATAAATCACAATCTTACCTCCTTCACGCGATGAGGTACAATGACTTTGTATTCGTCGTTCGAAAACACTGGATTCTGATCGTCAGCGTCGATAACGTTGACGTACAACGTCGTCGTCGACGATCGCGGTGGATTACCTTGATCCTATAAAAAAATAACATGACTTTATAGTAATTTGTTATTTAGAAACGAGCATGTTCGTATCTAATTTTTCAATCTTGAAATATATATATATAGAAAAGCGCTTACTTGAGCACGAATATGAATAGAGAAATTGCTGAGGCTTTCATAATCCAGCGGTTTTCTTAGCACAAGAGTACCTTCTATAGCACTCACGAAATAGAAATAATCCTGTTTACACAAAATCGAAACGAAAACAGAGTTAATTCTTTTTGATATAACGTATAAATATAAATTTTACCGTATAAATAAAGACGTAATAAAAATTTTACCGAATGAGGTCCCGGCAGAACTGCATACTGCACAGTTGAGTACGGTCCTGGTTGATCCGCATCGACAGCTCGGACTCCTTGCAGAACTCTCGTACCGTTAACGGTGACCTGAGATGTTCAATTTGTTACAAGTTAAAATTCTAACAAGAAAATGTTCTATACGTCATATTAAAATTTTGAAATAATTTCTCACCTCGGAAATATTCAACACGTAAGGCGCGTTAATGAATTGAGGCGAGTTATCATTCGCGTCTATCACCCGTATGTTCACCGGTATGATGAATCCCTTTAGGAAAAATAAAAATTGTAACACCACATATATACTAAATGTTGTTAAACAAAATTAATTAATTATTCGAACAAAAAATATTCTCAATAAAAGATATAAAACATGCGGTTGAAATGATTTTTTTTAATAAAAAAATTATAAAACAAACAACCAGAGAGTCTGCGGTCCAGGTTGAAGGTAGGACGTTTGAACGGATTTTTTATATTTGTTTAATTTTATAATTTTTTCATATTATTATTTACATTGTAAACAGTGAAGATAATCACCAATAAAAAATTGATCGGAACGTGATCCGGAATACACACTGCGCTTTATGTTACATTTAAACGTTCAACCTGGACCACAGGCTCTCTGGTTTTTTGTGTGTTTTATAATTGTTTCATCGAGCTGTTGTTAATAACATTAATTTATAAATAAAATTTTTGTTTTTTAAAATCCACCATAATGGAATTTCATCTCTCACCGGGTCCAAAGTGTGCTGTCGTCTGTCGCAAATGACGTTGACGTAGACGCTAGCTGGCCCGTCGATGCCTTCCTTGTCGAGCGGTCTGACCAGAGTTAAATTTTTCGTGTATGGCAAGAATGCGACTGGGCTATCGAGTTCCTGCAGGCTTAGCACAATGTCACCCTGCGAACTAGGATCACCTACAACTCCGAGAACCCCGACGATGTCGCCGACCGGCAGATCCTCGCTGACAAACAGATGCACCGCGGTGGCCCCATTTTCCAAGAAGCATCGTGTGTCTCGAATTACTGAAAAGCGCAAGTTATATCGTCAAACGAATTAATGTGTTTGATTTTTTTTTATACATATATAAAAAAATATTATTTAAAAATAGATAAAAGTTTTTGTTCTTATAATATTATATCGCGCTAAAAAAAAAAAAATGGTTACTTGCCGCGAGTGCGTCCTAGAAAAGTTCCGTTAGGGATTAATCGAGTTTCGATTATTGGACAACCGGTTTTCAACGGTTGCGCGCAAATCGTTTGGGGTTGAAGGACCGTGGGAAAATAATCTTGTGAGAAACTGCCGGAAATTGTTTTATTTTTTTTTTTATGAGATCGATGCGTGTTCTCACAAAGAGCTTTGTCTTGTTAATTGTTATTGCGTCTCTGAATATATAGTTCATGTTAAAATATAATCAATTAAAATCCCATAAATATTCTTTTCTCTCAAGCGAGAGAGATAACAATTACACTCTTCGCACACACGCGAACTTAGACAAAAATGCGCGTTAGCGCGGTTAGCACCTGCTCGCTCGTATATTACTCACTGTCCAGTTATTAATTATACAGCTGTTCTAATGACCGCAAACGATCCCGCACAAAATATTACGCGCATTCCAGACGCGCTACGTCTTAACGATGCAGTTCAGGTTTACCGTAACCTTAACGTAATCAAAACCGTGTTAAGAATTTACATAAAAAACACACTGTGTTTTACATAATTATCTGCGCAATAGTTTTGTTAATTCTAACTCTGGTTTCGGGTTTTCCAGACCGCCACATATTGTTCCATTACATCATTGAACGTAAAGTTCTACGTTTTAGATTATATTGCAAAATAATAGAACATAGAAAAAGAAAAAGATAGGAAGATAGGCAACAACGAGCTGTACACCTGATGTGTTCGGATAAAATTCTTTATTTCGAAGATTTGAATAATAATTGTCGCGAATATGATCATGCATTTATTGTAATTTTTTTATGTATAGAAGATCCCATGGTGGATCTCGAAACGTTTGTATCATCGTGTTAAATCTTCGGAACAAAGAAGAATTTTATCCGAACACATCAGGGCCTTAATTCTTGAAAAAAACTTTCGTATACGAAACTCTACTGTTAATGTCACATGTACTATAGACTTTCGTACACGCAAATTGTTCAAGAATCGAGGTCCAGGTGTACAGCTCGTTTTATTGCCACCTTCCTGTCTTTTTATCAAAACATAACACGAGCGCGAAAAGTGTAATAAAAAAAATAACTAAAATTTGTCGGCAGTTTTTGAACGTATCCCAGTAATGCAATTTTGGATATCATCGCACGATGATAGCGAAACGTCGTTGCGACTCGAGGAAAAATTTTATTCTAATAATTTTATTCCAATATTCTGTATTTCGATTTAATGTGACGTGTACACGCCACGTCATTCGATATAATGTCACTTGTACTTCTTGGTCTATTCGAAACGCTATAGAGAAGGACGCGCATCGGATGCGTATAGGCGTATGGACTATTTAACGCGTATGTGCGAGAGGGTAGATATATGCTCGCTTCCTTGGAGCGGAGTTCCGGTCGCGGCGAACTCGCTGGCGAATCGTCGACGGCGGCGCAGCGTTACGTCGTTGCCTTTCGCAAACTTCTTTCTTTTCTAACATGAATGCGAACCTCTTCGTTCGAGGATGTGCGCGCGTGTGTTATTCAATCGTAAAACTACTTGCAAATATTTGAAGATACGCGCGCGGATCGCGCAGACGCAATTTTTCGAGCGAGAGACCGGACGGCGCAGAAAGACGACGCGTCTGTTAAATAGCTCAGATAAAAATTGAGCCAAGAGAAAGTTTAAGTGGAAGTACGAGATAAACGCGTATTTAATAATAACGCGATATTTGTTAAAATTCTATTTAATAATAACGCGATATTTGTTAAAATTCGCGTATTTGATAATAGCGCGATATTTGTTAAAATTCTATTTAAATGTTATAAAAACTAAATGAATTTATACGCGCGCGCGTTATCGCGTTTTTCAACAACATCAAATAAATGAAAAAAGAATAAATAAATTTTATATATCAGAGCATTGCTCTTTCAATTTTTGTTTGTTTTTAAATTCTATTGTCTTCTCTCTAACGTCTTAGTAGTAATTATTTAAAAAAATATGTATTTACATAATAGTTGTAAAACAAATTGTTATCAGAGATGAGATTTTAAAGACGGAAATGATATATTACGCTGCGAGAATATTAACTTACGCTGTCCGACATGCAATTGCAGCATGCAACAGAGGAGCAACAAGATCCTCAATATGTTTCGTCCCATGGCAATTCAAGATCATCGTCTACTAATTCCGTCGACCGATACATCTGCAAAAAGAAATAAGTATCCTCAGTGACGATTTCTCGGAAAATCGCGAGAGATGAGGAAATGGCCAGGGGAGACAAAATCTCGTCACGTTGAGCGAGATTAAAAATCGAGTTTAATCTTTTTGCGAAAAGATGAAATTTCTCAGAATATTACTTTGATTATCGCTTATTCTCGGAAATAAAGCACTTGTTTTTTTTTGCTCGGAATTTTATTTTATTCGCGTTGCAAACGTTATCGGAAGTTTGATTGAGTTTTGTCTCAGGAAATGTTTTATTTTTTACGTGACTTTACAAAAGACGTACGTTCGACATAAATCATAATTTATTGTAAATGTTTTTAAATAATTGAAAAATTTTTAATTCAATTTCTTATTGATATTTACAAATTTATATTTAATATCCAATATTTTTTAATTCAAACTAATATTCGAGCGCGATGCAATCAATTGTGAAAAATAAAAAAAAAAATAAATTTAAAAATTCGACGAATTATTTAATTTTTGACTGTGACATACATTTTACTTGGCGTAAAGCTTTGTTAGTTACGTGTATATATCATCGAGTTTGTCGTGAAATTGACAGACGGGTGCAAGAACACAAACGATAGAGACAAACAACCGCCTTGCTCGACGTGTCTGCAACGCGACGTGAGCATAACGCGTGGTTAGAAAGCATGTAAAGAAACTTCTTTATTACGTGAAACTATGACTACGTAGAACTGCACGTCATCAGGAATAGAATGACTTGTGCGATTTATCACCGGAAATAACTCTTGACATTTTGTATATTTGTCTTTTGACTACAGTGTGTGTGTGTGTGTGTGTGTACTTTTTTCTCATAGCATTATGTAAAAAATGCAACTGATATGATAATACTTTTATCATAGCATTATGTAAAAAAATGCAATTGATACGATAAATACTTTTAAAAAAAATAATGAATTATCCTTTGTCCGATTGGTCGAATGACAAGACCCGGCAGTGGACTTCTTCACGCCATTGCGAGAAAGTGCGAGAAAATGCGGAACGTTCGCGTTTTGCCATTTACGGTAATAACCGAATAAATAAAGAAAGATAAAAAATAAAGAAAACTATTTATTTGTTCTTATCTAAACTTATTTATCTAAACGTACTTGTCTAAACGCAAATGTTATATCGTCTTGCGAACACAATATAATATAACAAAATTTTACAACATGATTTTGTAACTCCGTTGTTGTAATTTTCTTAGTTATATATTTTTCGTAATAAAATTCAATCTAAACTGATTTGAATGAGCGGTTGAAAATATTGAAGAACAAAGAAATTAGATGTAAATATAAAAAAAAATATCAGTCGGATATACTTTGGGCTATGTGGGGCGCGGTATATATATAACCACTTAAATTCACGGACCGTAAATTGAAACGCAACGCGATGGTCAGCCGGCGTAAAGGCCTCCAGGCTCGGCGGATAACTGTATAAAAATTATCATCGATATCTACATTTAGAATATTGATCGGTGAGATCTGGATCGCTTGTGTTTCAATGAGATGTTTGAATGGGATTCGTGAGATCAATTGCTTTCTGTAAGAAAAAAAAAATTAATTTATAATCGTGCGATTACTTACCACACAAAATACGCTCAGAGAAAGCGCGTTGTTCCTACATTCAATTTGGCCGTTCGTCGAGGCGGAAGAGTTTTTTTTGCAAAACTAAACTTTCTTTCATTACCAACATCAAATTTCAAAGTTGCTTTTATCTCGTTCCACCGCACTCGCGATTAGTCACCGTTTCTGTGTGTTGTAGCGAAAAACCACAAAGAGAGCTCGAGGAACTTTGCACCCTCGACAGACTTTTATATTGATCGACGCGGTGGCCCGCCACTCTTATAACTCACTTTTCACATCACACACTCCGTAACGAACATAAAATCTTCCAATGTGTTGTGTGTCGCACATATAACTTGCGGAGATCAAAAATCATCCTTTTGTTCGCGCAAGTTTCTCGAATAAAATAAATCGACAACTTCTTGTGTACAAAAATTTACTAAAAAAAATTTTACTTACAATTCCTTCGCGCGTACTCTTGTATTTTTTTTTTATATTTTTTGAAAACAATGTTTTAGATATTTTTTAAATTAGTTTGTTTGCCAAAATTGATCGCTTCGATTTTATCCCGACAATATTTTATTTTGTTCATCTCGTCTCTTATCGTTTTGCTTTATTTTTATAAATTGAATTGTTGTTGGCACACTTGTTCACACTTCGTGCGCTATATATCGTGATCGATCTGTGGGATCTATCTCGGATCAAACTCGGCTGCGAAACGACCACCGCGCTGTGGGGCTGTGAAACTCTTTACTGCAAACCGGAGCCGTCGAGCAAAGCGGCAGAGCGGCACTCGGGAAGTTGGCTCCCCATTGTCAGAAAGGGGGGACCCGTGGCGGCCAACAGAAACGTCTACCCGAACCGCACCGCGAAACAGGTGTTTTTATACACGATGGGAGAAATACGGCAACTCGCATATGCGTGTGTTACTCCACAAACGCGCACACATAACTGACCCCTGTCTTTGGTAAGCCCTTCGGGGACTTTCATCGACCGCGGTGTAAGACAGCGCGAGGATATCCGGTCTTCGAGTTTTTTTTTTTTTTTTTCAAGAAGGGATCTCCATTCAATAAGATAAAAAAACCAAAAAGAATATCAAATTACGTCGAAGACAACGTAAAAAAACGAGAAGAAAGTTTGACACATTTGATTGAAAAAAAAAACGCATGATTATATAATTAATACAAACCTATCAAAAATTATTAAACTAATTGCAATCTCATTTAAAAAAAACACTAACGTGACTTTACGAATGACAATTCAAAAATTTATATTCGCCTGACCCGGCGCGCCCACAAATTTATAACAATTTTTATTCATTATTATTTATACAATTTTTTAAGTACGAAATTGTTATCACGGTCAGAAAACCATGATCGTAAGTAACGTGATTCAGCAACGGCGCGCAATTGCGTAAGTACGCAATTTTTTTCGGCAACGTGCGTAGCCGAGTGTCTCTTTTGCAATTCGAGCGATTTGACGTCGTGGGAAATGGTCGAGGGCAAGTGGAACGTGATCGCGGCGCCGCCGCCGATTCGCTTATGAGCATCGCGACGCATCTCTCGCGGATCATCGATCTGTGAAATCGCGACCGTTTCTCGTCGCTTCCCCCCATGAGAAAAATGACTTTTATTATGCACGGTTATTGCGGTTAATAAACATCTCAAGTTCTGTCCAATTTGAACCAGTTTCTGTTACCGAGCGCGCGATTTGCGCGCAAAACGTCGTTACGCTTAACGGTGAATTCATTCGGTCGACGATCCAAAACAAAAAAAATGCAATTTAATTAATTGCAAGTATTTTTCGAAATGACTCGCGATCGCAATATCCGCGTTAAACGTTCAACCAAAACACCGAAAACACGTGATGATTGTAACAGATCGCCGCAAAATAAAAAGTCACGTCACGGTTGATTGTTTAAAATTATTTTTAAACTACTTTTACTACGTTTGTTCTTTCGTTCGCTTGCTCAATCTCTTCAGTTACGAGTGCATTTGCATGAACACACCGGTTCAAAGAAGACGTTGTTTTTCCACGCGATCGCGTGGCGGTAAAAGTTTGTTCGTCGCACCGACTTGAACGATATACAACACACCGGTCTTTCTAGGTGTCTATAATGGACAAGTTGAAATCTCCTTTCGAAGAGCTGATAAAAATATCAATTTTTAGCCTCACACAATTCATAGAAGATATTTTATTTCAACAGCCATATATATATATATATTGACAATAATGAAAATATTTTACAAAATAAAAAAAAAGCTTCACACGATTATTTTTTAGTCTTACATGTAAATATTTGTTCGAATCACCTAAACAAAAAAAAAAAAAAAGCAATATCTTAAATATTTTTATCGGACGTAAAAATTAATTACGCAAAGCCCGACATATTATGTGGCGATATAAATAAGTTTTGTTTTTCTACGTGAAACCTACATCGTTAACGACAATTAAAAGCCTTTGCTAATACGAGCTGATCGGCGCGATCGATCGCGGCCGCGATCGATCGGTATCGATCGTGGAATCACGGATATTATACACAGTATTCTCAAACACGGAAAGAAGGTCGATCGTTCCTCACATCAACGGCGTTCCGTTCCATTGTATAAGAGCATCCTGCCACCTTTGGCGAGCGTGAAACAATAAATAAAAAATATCTTAGCTATTGAATCCCGTGGTGTTTCGACGCAACGCTCGAATGATCTCGAGGATGTCTCGCGCGTGATCGGGGAGACAATGGCGACATCAAACGGGTCTTTTGCAATAAATTGTTGAGAAAAAAAACACAAGTTTTTTTTTTTTTTTTTTTTTTCAAATTAAATCGCGTTGAATTAAGTGAAGTAGCGCGTGTGTACACGTATGTAATAATCTATTTCACAACATGTACTCACTTGGATCGAATGAGTTTCTCTAACGGTGTTGCGGCGATATCGGCGGTTTCCATTGTTGCAGCATCTGATCCTCCGGAAGCCTCGTTCGCTCTCGTGTCCACCGTCAACGTAGCGTGACTACCGCCGCAGGTGAAATATTGGACCTCGAACCTGTAATGTATGCGTAAAGGGGGAGAAGGTATATTTCTTTCTCTCCGCGATGTCCCTCCGATGTGTTGTTGTTGCGTAATCAATAGAAAAATAAAAACACACGCGCGTTGCCCTTACCGCCGTTCAGCGTGATAATTTCTCAGCAATTCTCGATTCGTATTGAAGAGCACGCCGTGATGACCGAGACAAAGTGTTACCCATATCGGTAGACTGGGCGTTTTCAAACGCGAACCCGGTTGTTTGCCTATATTGCCGTCACCTTCGTGTATTAAGAATCCCACTTCGCTTCGCAGAAGAACTCCCCACTGCGGCACGGCCTTATTTGTCAAATTATTTTTTACATTTTTTAAATAAAATTATCAGCCGTACTTCCGGAAACGAGATTAATCTTATCGAGAATTAATTGATTGAAGAAAAATTAAAATGTTAAATTAAAAGAATTACTCACGTATGTATTTTCGTCGCCAACGTGAACCACCCCGTTATGAACATGTGGCGATGCGCGTCCGGTTAAAATAAAAATAACGACGCCGATTGGTCCTTCTTCGGAACATCCGCCGAGAATCGATGCCTTTGGATCTTCCAGATCGTTCTGAACTCTTAATAATTAAATCGGAACATATATGCTGGATCACGGTATATCTTGCGCTTAATTGTTTGTAATTAAAATAACTTATTGATTTTTTAATAGAAATAAAATATATGAAGAAAATTCTCTTACTTCGAGAAACCTCTTGAAAGCACCATGCTGTACAAAAGTAAGACGGCACCGGGCCCGCCTTCGTCGTGAAACTGAAATTTTACGAACAAAAATTCTCTCCTATTTGGAATATTTTATTCTATGAAATTTTAAACTAAATCGCTTGTTTCGAAAGAATAAATATGCTTAAATATGGAAATTTGGTTGTGTTGCCTCACCAGATATAAATATCTCTTGACAAATATTTCAAGATCCTCCAAGGAGTTGAACTCGAACAGATGCAGCTGGAATATAAAACAACGATTCTCTCAATCTGATAAGTGAACACACGTAGAAAATAAATGATCAAAAAACCACGCGACGGTGATATCGGCGACGCGATCTCCGGGTACGATAACTCTAATACACTTGGCGAAACACCAACGTTTATAATTTGACATACGCTATTTCGTCGCGTTAATTGCACGGAGAAAGCTCGGGTTTCGTTTACTTTTACGTAACAAAGACGCAAACTACACATTTGTTCCACTAGATAAAAAAAAAAACATTAATTTTGTCACATATTTCTTTTTTTTACTATCGCGCGATCAAAATCTGATACGAACATTCTTTTGTTTTTGTTATTAACAAATAATATAGAATTGCGAAAGTAAAATATACGTGTTTGTTTTCCTGATTGCTTTTTACACAGTAAAAAATCGTGCGTCAAAATGTAGAACTTTTCTTGCGTTACGACGTTTTGATTATCACTTCAATGCAAAATTAACATAACACTGATATGTTATTATTTTTTTAACCTTTTCACGTGTTAAATTTATTTTAACTTCACAAATTAACATTTTCTGCACGTCATTAAAAAAATTGAATATTGTTTAAGGACGTTCTCCGAATTATTGATTTTCGTAGGATTTTCTTTAAATTTGCGATATACATAGTTTATGATCTTATTTATAAGTAGCCTTTTTGGATAATAGGGGTAGCAATGTNAAATTCCAAAATATGGAAGATTTAAGTTTCAATTTTTAACATGGATTTCCTATGCTGAGCCTTTGTGAAGTGGGGTTTTTTAAAGTTACTGACGACAATTTTTGTAGGATTTTTTTAAAAAACAAGTATGTGGTAGCGGAGAGTGTCTTAATTAAAATACGATTTTGAATAATATGGCAAGCAACCCTTGTTTTCAAACTATTTTTTTTTTTTTTTTTTTTTTTGGTTTTTTTTTTGTTTTGCTGGATTTATGTGCGCTATTGTGTACTGCAGCTATTTTTGAACTTCTGCGCAGAGTAAGCGGGTCTTAGCANTGCTGAATAGCTCACAACTTAACTTTGTTACAGCAGTACAAACTTACTCATGAGAAGAGATATTTTAGGTTGCTAACCACTGTATTTAGGTTGCTAACCACTGTAGTCGGAGAACGTCCTTAAGTGCTTTTAACACAATGATTTCGATTAATCAAGATGTCTCGAAGTCAATTTAACATACTAAAAAAAGTTAAAAAAATCTTTGGTCACATTGCACAAACTAAAATGTTTTGTTAACATTTCTCACGAGTTACCGTAACTACTGTTTTGTGTAGCTTTTAATTATTTTATATGTTATTTTTACATCACGCTTACAGTCTAGTCAAAATAACAAATATAAATGTAAAATGTTGTATCAATTATTTGACCTCACTAGTTTGTCAATAAGTGACTCTCGCAACGAACGAGTTATTTTAACTTAAAATTTAGAGTGAACCTCCCGGGACGTGCAAAAAATGTTAAAATTAACATTTTCTTTTTTGCTGTGATACAAGTGTAATACAAGTTTCGTAATATTCGGTAATTTATAGTCGATAGATGAAGAAAATTACAACCGTTTCTGTTAATCCGTCTTGGAAATAATGCGCGCTGTGCTGAAGATACGGCGTGTCCTGTGGCAGAGCTATTACGGCTTTTGGCACAGTGTTGTTGCCGACGACATTCGGACACGCAGACACGGAGAAGCCGCCGGCGGAACGCCAAATAATTTCCGCGATTGCGAAAGTCAACACCTCGATTTGTCGATCGTACGAAGGTTTCAACAGACTGAAATTAAAAAAAAAAAAAAAACACACACACACACACGTTTTTTTTCTTGCAACCTAGATTTACAATAATAATTGTCTGTTAGAAATCAAAGGTAATAATACGTTGCCAATTAAATTAAACATAATTGTGTACCGAAAGTATATTTTTGCGCTTACGTCTCGGAACTCGCTCTCACATCTTGTCTGTCGCATTTGAACAAGAAGTGCTTCAACATGACGGCTTGTACGGCGGTAACGAGTCCTCTTGTTGTGTTTCTCGGCGCTCTCAGTCCGAACGCCAAACTTTGACCGTACGGTCGCAAAGTTAGTCCGGTTCTCGCCCATTCGGTCTTCGGTGGAGTCGCGCATGAACCGAAGACCAACGTTCTCAGAGCCTGTGTGACAAATCGCGCAGGCAAATTTCTTGATTCAAAGAGAAACTAACTAAAAGCGCCGAACACACATCCGAGCTCGCGTTATTATATATATTTGCGATGGAAATTACTTTACCATGCACGTTTCTTCCTCAATGGGTTGTCCGCCGATCACCGATGTTTTCGGCAGAGTCCTCGTGTTACGTGGATAGAGTATTCTCTCTGAAAAAAAATACACACGAAAAAAATGTTAAATAAATAAAAGCGCAAAAGGGTGTTGTGAGAAATTAAACTTCTGTTTTTTTTTGACACCTGGATAGAGCTCGTCGGGTTCGGCCATAAGCGCGGCGCATCGAGCCGCTCGCGTTGAGAGCAACATCTCTTTGAAATGTTCTTTATTATCTTTGTTTATTCTCTATTATGTTATTATCAATTATATGCTGTTATTATTTTACAACGGCGTCTTAAACATATTCAAAAACAAGCGTTTAACTGTTTCTTTTTTTTCTTTTTTTTGCTCGCGATACAAAGAAAGTATCTTGTATTAACGGGAGGCCTTTTTAAGAGGCAAACTTCACAGCGCCGGGTTGTCACCCGATGGCACCAGCCGCGATATCAAGGTATCAATTGGAATCGTGCCGGTATCCGCACGTTCCTTTATATAAGCTCTGATATTCGGAGCTTGTGCGTGCAGGCATCTCGCGAAATACGACGGTCGGGACCGATCGCGCACGAAAGGTGTCAATTCAAAGTGTCCGAAACGAAACACACCGCCGGTGGTAGACGTGTGCCCTACTATTCGTCTGTGTGTTTGGCCGTGTCGCGTTTTCGAGATGGAATTCACACACGCAAATTCGACCCCGCGCGACGACCATTGGCGTAAAAATGCTCGTCGTCAAAGAACTTCCAATTCCCATAAAGACGAGTGAGGAAACAAAACAAAAAGAAATAAAAAAAAATGATGCAAGATTATTACAGTCCCCGGAAAAAAATTTTTCATGTATAAAATTGTACGGACATATTCGATATATATATATATATATATATATATATATATATATATATATATAAATTTGCATAATTAGATATAATAATTTTAATTTGTGTATAAGTATATATGATTATATATCAAAACTTTTTTAAAAATATAGTAAAAATATAATTAGAAAAAGGCCGTATAAATAACAAATAATCCAAATAGACCCGCACAGCCTTAAACCACTGATCAAAGGTAGTAAATTTAATATACAATTTTAATAAGGTGAACGTTTCGATCATTTAGTAAAAATATAGTTTTATATAATTTTTTGTATCTAACATGATACTGATAGAGTTATTTTGTAATTTGATATGGAATATCTCTGACGCGCCATTCTCTTAAAAAAAGAAATTCTCCGTGTATAAAATTGTATGAACATATTCGGCATGTAAATTTGCATAATTAGATAGAATTATTTTAATTTGTGTATAAGTATATATAAAAAATTTTTTACCGGGGATCGAAGCTTGAAAGAGAGACGAAGAGCAAACCTGAGCTGAAGGAGATGAAGAAAATCTTTGAGTCTCTCCCTTAGCGAGATGAAATCAAAACAAAATGGTTATACCGTTAAACGGTTACGCCGTTGCACGTGTGATTAGATTTAGGAGCGGTCGAAGTTATCCGAATACCTGTGTGTTTTTTTTTGTTTTGCGTTACATGCCGAGAGTTACATACTTCAAGAAGTAGGTGGCAAAATGTATGTAAAGCGATGAACGCGCGCCTACATACAGGCGTGAAATATCTCTCGGGTCTTTACACCTCTCGCGTGTATATCGAGTATAACAACAGAGAGAGAGCAAAGTTATGAGCGAAATAAATTGACGGAAGAGGGGAGGGGGAACGAACTTCGCATTTTCTCGAAACAATTTGCTGTTGATCGATTCTTTTACGGGACGAGAAACATATAAAAGCGTCAGAATGTCTGTCGTACTCTAACAGTTCTCGTGCGGACTGATACAAGAAAACTTTTCCTTCTTTTACACAAACCGACGTCGTGGAAGATGCGGCCCGTTTGAAATCTCGAGCGGGTGATAACGAGGACGGCAACAGGAGCTGGTCCAAATTCGGTCATCTTCATACATGGAAACGTACATATATATGTATACACACACACACACACACACACACACATGTATATATATCATTCGGCGCGGCCTTTCGACTACTTAGCTCGCGAAGGCGATCGCGTGTTCGCGTGCAATCAAAATATCGGATTATGAATTCGCGCCGGAACGGCCATCTGCATTCGGCGATTGCACACCTCGATATATCGCGCCCCTAATTTACATCAGTGCCTCTCAAGGAGGCCGTGTATCTATCGATCTGTTCGACCGTTTACCGTTCCTGCAGTTGTGTGTATGTACATAAAACTTGTCTATTATCTTATATATATATATATATATCCGGTTATATACATCTCTTTACTCCAATTGCGCTTTGTTTCTTTAACGAGAGAAACGTGCTCACGCCAGAACGAGCGAGAGCCGAAGTTTATACGGCGAAGAAACACGTGTACTGCACTCTTTATTAAGAGTTCTCGGAAAGAGAAAATTAACGTTAATAAGTTTCAGTGTCTTATTTCAATGATCATTTGTTTGATGACGCTTAATAAATTTTTTCTCCATAAGGAGAGGATGCGACGATTAAAATTCTTCCGAGGTAAGTATTCTTTTGCGCACGCTTTGACCCCTGCAGGAAACAGCTGCGAGCTGGGAACAAAAAATTTTCATTTGGCGGCAGGAGGGAAAGGTAGGAAGAAACACGATCCACAGATAGAGCCGTTGGAAACTGCATTGCATTCATTTGGTCACATCTGGATTGTATTCATTGTTTGTTTCACAAACAGATACGCTTCAGGCTGCGGTCTCTGTTCTGCGCCGAAAGATGAAAAAGAAGAACGAGAAAATCGTCAGCATACGTTGATCAATGTATTACCGTATATATATTATGGATATTCCGATTTTTGTGAGAAAAAAGTGATGAAAATAATATAAACTGCATTTTTGTAAAAAAAATTAAATTATTAAATACAAAAATTAATGTAGATAATTTTTATACGTTTGTAGCGCGAACGTAACGTAAGGATTGATGAAAAAAAAAATCATGAGAAAAAAAGTAAAACTCAAACAGCACAAGAGAATCGATCCAGCGATCCCGCAATTACGAACTAAAGCGCTCCCTCGCTGCGTCTCACGCGCCCCTTGAACAAACGTCTAACTTGTCAAGTAGGGTAAACCCTAGGGATAAAATGGCCATAGTTTTTTTTAAACGCAAAAAACAGTCCTTTATTTTTGTTATTCTTAAATATTCTTTTTTATTTCACTTCACTAAAGCTTGAAGCAATAATAACTATTGAAATTAAAGAGAGAAAAAACACTTAAGACAGAAATTTAATATTATCAAAATATTAAAATGTAAATGCATTGGCCGTCTTATCAAACTTTTAGGGAAAAGATGGCCATGCTATTACAGAACAGTTGGCCATACATGTTTTTTTGTAAAAGATACAAGTAAAAACTTTATACACAGTAAAAAAGAAAATGTTAATTTTAACATTTTTTGCATGTCCCAGGAGGTCCACTCTAAATTTTAAGTTAAAATAACTCATTCGTTGCGAGTCACTTATTGACAAACTAGTAAAGTCAAATATAATTGATACAATATTTTACATTTATATTTGTTATTTTGACTAAACTGTAAGCGTGATGTAAAAATAACATATAAAATAATTAAAAACTACACAAAACAGTAGTTACAGTAACTCGTGATAAATGTTAACAAAACAGTTTAGTTTGTACGATGTGATCAAAGATTTTTTTTTTAACTTTTTTTAGTATGTTAAATTTACTTTGAGACATTTTAATTAATTGAAATCATTGTGTTAAAAGCTCTCAAACAATATTCCATTTTTTTAATGACATGCAAAAAATGTTAATTTGTGAAGTTAACATAAATTTAACACGTGAAAAGATTAAAAAAATAATAACATATCAGTATTATATTAATTTTACATTGAAGTAATAATCAAAACGTCGTAACACAAGAAAAGTTCTACATTTTGACGCACGATTGTTTACTGTGTAAGTATGTAATTTAATTATATTTAGTAATTTTTTATGTGTTAAATACAATATATTTATTGTACGTAAGAGATTATTACATATTGTTGTTAATGTTTTCACGTATAGTATTTTTTAAATTACGAAACGCAACTTTATATAAACTATAAAAACAATTAGCAAAAAAATGTTTATTTTGATGATTAAATACATTGTAGATTATACTACTAGGTAAATAAAAAAATATATATATATATGTATGGGCCATCTTTTTTCCGAGAAGTACGAGAAAAAGATGACCATAGCATTTATAAATAAATAATGAAAATGAAACTACACAAATTAATGATTACATTACAATTTACGTACCTTTATTATGTATGTAATATTGATTACGGCAGCTTAATTGTCAATTTATTATTAACGTTATAATTAATATTATTAACGTATTATTGACGTTATAGCGGCTTTTAGTGGATATATACAAAACTTTGCAGGCAGTCGAAAGTAAAAATATCACATAATTTTCACAATATTGTTATTTTAAATAGTGCACGCACATAAACTACTGTAAATACTGATTATCTTTAAGAATGGCCGCAAAAATGCACTATTAAACAAATTATTGGTGAAATTACAGTCTACGGCCATAATACCCGAATTTACCCTGTATAAAAGTCCTGAATTTTTCAAAATCAATTTTCTCGGAATTGGCTGAATATTTGCGTTTTGTAACTTTGAACATGTTGAAGTCCTGATCATGACCTCTGCGCGTACACTACACAAATAAATCAAATCTGCAAGGGAAGCGTCGTAGTCTCCCCTTGTAAAATTAACACTAGAATGTTTCTTTGTTGATATCTTATTGTATAATTTTTTTTTATATTAAAACACATTTGTATAGTTTTTACTAAAGTAATTGTACTGTTGACTATACAGATAAAGAGAAAAACTTCGTACCTCTGTCCCGAAGATAGGGCGGTAACTTCTCCTTTCGCATCTCTCTGCAATGTCTCGCATCGCAGATGAGTGTCGTATTCGCCACGGTAGCCTCTTTCTCCTCTGGCGCGTCCGATGAGGATTCCTCCATTTTTTCACACGAACTTATTTTTCGTATTTACGTGTAAAATTTTTAATCAAAAACGCACGCGTTCACAAGTTATCGGTTTTTAAATCACAAACTATCATATCGCGTTTGTTGATCGATATTTCCTTTTTCTTTTTACATCAGTAATCATCATATGTAAAAAAAATTATCGACAAACTGTCTTTACAAATCAAAAGAAAATTCTTCAGATTTGTGATTATTCACAATCCGATGTAGATATCGATTTGCTCGCCGCGGTTCTTCCATTCTTTCATTTCGTTCTCGAGGAAATAGCATAGTGTAAAAAAAAAAAAAAACGACGAAATAGCACAGTGTAAAAAAAAACAAAAAAAAATGGTATTATCTTATTTTCGTTTTTAAGAATAACTGTTTTTTTTTATATCGCATTGTGTGAAAAAACAACAAAAGCCGAGTCAAAATCACTTTAATTTTACGCGTTATTTATGTTATATATGTACATATAATCAAATATGTAAATAAAATCAAAATTGCGTATCTCGTTCGTACGGTTTTAGCACAATCACGCAAATCTCTTCGAACGTTTCATCGATTTACGTCAACTGTCACAAATGTCTAACACCGTTCTCTGTTTGTACTCTCATTGACTTGCGATAACTGACAGACTGCCGTCTTCTCAGAGACCGTATATACGGCTAGAAATAATAACTCTAACTAGCACCCCCGAACTGACTCAGCTTAGCACGCCGCACGTTCTATAGAAGGTGGTCGAAAAGTGGATGAGCCAAACACGACGAGCACTTACTCTCTATAAGTTATTAACGACAATTATTATTTATTACTTTCTTTACAACACGATTAAAATTAGATTTTGACTGTGAACCACAGATCAAATTCTCAAAAAAAAAAAAAAAAAAAAAAAANAANAAAANAANATNATTTTTATTTTGCTTTTTTACGCTTGTTTTGACTGATTTTATTTATTCAAAACGTAACATAATTAATAAAAAATATGAATCTTTACGTGTAGAAATTAATATGATTTTAAGAGTTAAATTTTTTCGCGCGAGATTCTTCGAATGTTGAATGAGCGAAATATATAACAAGGGATGCGAAGGCCCTATCGCGATTGAAGGAAATTGTTCGTCTAATTGTTACACTTGTACTGACAGCCTCGACGTGCCCGAAACACGCTTTTATACCTGCGTAACAACCTGGTACACACCTACTCTATCTACCCCAGGGTTTTACTGTATTCGGCACAGATGTGCCGAAATATACGGATCGTCTTATCTTATAGATCAATCGGAGCTGCGCGCATCTTTGCACGCGCGTTTCGTGCTGTGTTCTCGCCCGAGTTTTTATTAGACAATCGGAAATGAAAAGTTGCAAGCGGCTTTAATCAAATTCCTAAAAAAAAAAAAAAAACGAATTGGAACACCCGTGTGTAGTTTTCTCAAATATAGGGAAAAGATATTTGTGTGTACGATTATATAAAAATTATCTAAAACAAATTGCTCTCTTAATTAAACGATGGAGTATAATTTATTTTATGGAGTATAATTTATTTTATTCCTCAAAAAAAAAAAAAAAAAAACGAATTGGAACACCCGTGTGTAGTTTTCTCAAATATAGGAGAAAGATATTCGTGTGTACGATTATATAAAAATTATCTATAAAACAAATTGCTGTCTTAATTAAACGATGGAGTATAAATTTATTTTCGTATACACACATATGTGTATCATGAGTGAAGACCGCAAGAGAGAAGAAGATTCAATTAAACGGAGACTCGGTCGATCGAGTTTCCCAAATGTATACGGCGGAATAACAAGAAAGCCGAAGAGAATCATTAAATTGATTTCTCCACCTCCCTCCTTCAGCGAATCAGAAACTCATATTGCTCGTATCCTAATTGCCAATTTCCTGGCCATCCTTAGCGAGTCCCGCGATCGAATGAATCGAAGTTCAAGTTCGCGCTCGAAAATAGATATGCCATCCCTCCTCCCCCTCCCCTCCCCTCTCCCCCGGAGTGAACTGACGAAAATCCTGCCGTCGAAGGTGCCGTCGGCATGTGTTTGTGTGCGTCACTCATACCGTTGCGAATATGAAATTGGACGGCTTAAAACCGTGTGGCCGTAGTACCAGGAGCGGTGCAATGCATGCACACGCGCGCGAACGAACACCGGAACGAACGAGAGGTGAGCTTGATGATCGATCAGCTCTGTGCGCGGCTCTTACGGCCAAAAGCGAGAACGAAAGATATAACTATATCTCGCGCGTCTCGAAAAATGGAAAAAAAAACTTCGTCCGCGAGCGCGAAAGATAATGCGTAGTATTAATTTTTTTTTTAATTTTTGTCGTTGTTGTATTATCGCACGGATGTCGAGCGTAGGAAATTGTGTGTAGAAACGCACGTGTGTGTTTCATGTGTTATTAAAAAAATAATTTATTTCATATAAAAAGATGTTCACAGCGCTATTTTACTCGTATGTATAATCTCGAACAGAACTGTTACAAATATCAAACATTAATTTTATTATTGAGAACGGAGCGTTTCATCTGAACATTGCAATTATTCCGATTAGACCGATTGTAATTAAATTACAAATTTTAAGAAAAAAACTATTGAACGTTCACAATGTTAACAACAGTATAAACGCTTCGTTCTAGATAATAAAAGAATTTGTTGATTAACATGTGTGTGTGGACAAAATTGTGTTGTTCGTGCGTAATTTTATTGTAACCTCAATTTTTTCACGTTGCCCTTCCGTTGCTTCGAACGTTTGTTCGACTTATCTGGTTTCGGTTCATCCTGAAATTCATATTTTTGCGAAAGTTTCTCTCTGATGAGCAACCCTTTAATAAGTCTCTTCCAGTTGCCGTAAATTCTCTTTTCTCTTTTCTCGGCGGTGCGTCTAGACGCCTCGACTTGCTCCGCTTCCCAAGCTTCTCGCAACGTATCCTCGTACTCCGCGCACACAACGAAGCCTTCGACAGCCGGCACGGCGCCCACAGATTTAAAATTGAAACCCACCACAGCAGGTGCACAATCTATGTTTAATTTTCTGGCTATGCGATTCAACCCTGGAACTACAAAAATTCAAAAAAAGAAACGTTGAAACTTTGAGAGAAAAAGATACAGATATTCAACTATTTATGTGACAATGAATCGCACTTACGATTTATGTGTACTGTGCCTTTTGGAAGCATACATTCCTTGAATAAATCAACACTACCGTATTCGTTGCGAGGAACGATGCCATTTTTAGCCTCGGGCGGAACATATTCTGTAGTTTGCCATTCTCCAAAAAGTTCTAACGCGGAATCCTTGATTTTCATACCTGAAAGCTGAAGAGACAAAAATTTTGTCAAAACATTTGTCTCCCTCGAAAAAAAAAAAAAATACTACAGCACCGATCGCATACTTTGTCATATTTTGGAAGCGCCTTAACTATTTTGTAAGGATCTTGTTTTGGTTTAACCACTCTGGCCTTCCTGATCCAGGTTTCTCGCGATCGTAGCGTGTGTACGCAATAACGCGAATAAATGGCTTCGCCGGTTTTCAAATGTCCGAGCGGCACACAATCCGGTGGATACAACGCCTCGTATTTGAGCAAATGTCTGGTAAGCACGTACAGAGGATGTCCTTTACACTCACTAACGGTTTTAGGCAAAGGCTGTGCCAATTCCCTGTAAAAATGTTTCGTTTTGATCTTGTCGGTAGCATTATTTTTTTTCAATTGTGCAACATAAGACAAAAAGAAAGTTAAAACGCGCTCAAATAATTAAGTTAAGTTTGATATAAAATAAAAGAACAACAAAGCGTACTTTTGCAAAAGTAATTCGTCTTCTTGTTTGGACATGGGTGTCTCTCTTTCCAACCAACAACTTAAAGTTTCAGACCACCATTTCTCATCGATACGTTGCTTACGTGTAACGGAAAGCCATTGCGAACAATAGCGTCTTGTCACATCTTTGATTGATCTCTCCGCGTTATACGCTACCACATATAATACTGGTTTGCTCGCATTTTTCTGAAACATTATTGTGTAACAATTAATTATCCATATTGAAAATTTCAAAGCGTTTATATAAATTTATCTTAGATATTTCTTACATATACTTCGGTTACACAATCTACACTCCCGGTAACTACATTTGCAGATATCCAGCATCCTTTAGACTCTACATATATCTCAGCCCATACGTGTCTTCTCGGTTTGTTACTATCAGCTTTTTCATCGTCTGTCGATTCTTCATCTTGGTTTTTGTCTTTTTTTTTTCTAGAATTAACAACTGCTTTTTTAGTACCGTTGCGTTTTCTTTTCAATTTAGTTTGTTTCTTTGCTTCCTTCTTGTCTTCTTCATCCTCTTCATCTTCATCTTCATCTTCATCTTCGTCTTCATCGTCATCATCATCATCATCATCATCTTCTTCTTCTGAACTGAAGTAACCACTACTTCTCTGTGAATGTGTCTTAGAATTTTTCCTTTTAGATTTATTTTTTGAATTACTTTGTAGATCAAGTTTAGTTGCTCGCAATGCAACATTATATTTTCTTCCAGATCGTAAACGTTTCGGAGAAATCTTGATATCTGCATCTTTCGAACTTGTGGAGGTTGACGCGACATCTTTCGATGTTTTAGAAACACTATTTCGATCGGGTTCGGTGCGTTTTAACTTATCTTTGCTTTTTTTATCATACGAGTATGAACGAAGAACCCGTGCTGCATTCTTTTTCGCTTCCATATTAGCCTCTTTTCGCGCACTTTCGCTGTTCTGAATCACAGTATTCGCAACTTTATTTGTGACATTTTGCTTGTTTGAAGTTTTTTTATTGTCCTTCTTAGATGATTTTATTTTCGTCGTTTTTGTTTCTTTCGGCTCGTCTTTGACTTGATCAGTTTTCTTTGCTGTAATTGTTTTGGGTAACAATTCATTAAATGATTTTACAAGCGGCGGATGAAGAGAGACTATTAAACGACAATGAAGACCAATACTTCTGAGTGCTGCCACGTACAATATTACCAATTCTCTGTAATTGTAAAGTTTTTTATCCGCTATCCTTTTCAACAGCGTTTCTTTGTTTATAATAACGTTATTGTCGGTAGCTTCTAATGAGAACATCTGTTTGAACCATTTTGTAAATTTTGTTAGGTACGATACGTCAAAATTATTTTTTGGATAGCTGGTTTTTGGAATGAGCGACGTTACTGTTGCCATGATTTCAGGTTCGTTCGCTTGACGATTCAGATAGAATCCATACGCCAACCAACCAAGCCGAGCTGCTTTCTCCACCAGAACCTGATTACCCTTCAATTTTTTTCTTAATAGAGCAGCTAGATCCGGTCCCTTTTTGCCTGGTTTCTTCTTGAAAATTGCCGTACCTGGCAAAGTGATATTGATACCTTCCTTAGGTATCACATAATCGACAGGACGTTTGACGTCCTCCTTTGTCTCCTCCTCCTCCTCTTTATCTGTATTTTCGTCATCTTCGCAAAATGCTCCGCTTTCTCCTTGTAATAAAACTGCTTTTATCTCATCCGATATATCTTTCTTTCTTTTATCGGTTTTGATCGCTTTAACATCTTGCGAACCGTCGTTCTCAAGATTCTTGGACTCTTGATCGACGACATTGGGTTTCTGTGAAGCTTCCAAGTTCTTAACCACCTCAGAAAATAATTCGATCCCATTGTTGTCCGTAACATTTGCAAAATCGTCCTCCTCGCTACTTTCATCCTCGCTCTTCGAATCCACAAGGTTAGATTTGACCGCCGGTTTTATGGAAAAGAAATTTGCTGACAGGTCGTCTTTCGGAGTTATACCAGCAAAATCGTTGCTGCTGTCAGAACTGTTGTCGTCGGAATCGCTCATTTTGCGTGTTATCCTGCAAAAAAAAACATTCTCTTTGTCCTCACCGAAGCTAGATATTGAAAGTGTTTTTAATATCGTAATTTACCTTGTTTTTGATCTTGTTCTCGGCGAGATTGATCTTATTTCAATATTACGCAGGATGTGAATAAACAAAGTCCAATTGTTTGGCGCAACGTCACAACTCGCAACAGACGAAACAATCGGATATACAAACACAACAATACAAAAACACGCTTCTCACATGTCAAAATTACGCATTATTACGCAAATGCATTGGACATGTAACTCACAGACCGATTGACTCGAAGACCAATCTCACGCGTTAGAATCAGACTTGCAAACTCGAGCCGGCTAGCACCGAGAGCACCGAGGTGATGGGAGCCACTGGGAACACGCACACAAGCGAGAACCGCCGTCCGTGTGCGTGACGTCACGCTCAGCACGTC